TAACAAAGGACAGGAAATTGTGAAGAACCCCAAAATTAATGACATTGGAAATCCACTAAGAGTCTTGGAGGAGTGGCATTAGGCCAGGTTAGAGATCTTAGAACCCTGGCTTTTCATTGCTGTGGGATGAAGACAACTCTATCCTATTGAAGCCTCTGAGCCCAGATTACCTGCTCTCTGTAGCTGACTTGTCCTCTCCTGTGCCCTATGTACCACACCCATGCTGCTCACCTGAAGCCTGCATTTCCTGGACACTGGGCTTCCTCCAAGTCCTAGTAGACACCACGTTCCCTGCAGTCCGAAGGACTCCACAGAGGCTGTAGCTCAGGCCTGGCTGCCCCGCCACCCACAGGTGCCTCAGGACTCCTACTGATCGGCAGTGCTCAGCTTGATGACAGCTTCATGTTTTTATTTTGAGACAGGGTCTCACTATACAGTTCAGGCTGGCCTCGGACTCACACGTAGCCCTGGCTGGTCTCAAACTTGTGGAGATCCTCCTCCCCAGCCTCTTAAGTTCTAGGATTACAGGAATGCGCGATTATGCCATTTGATGCTCCTTAGGGATCATCTTAGCTTCCGCAGATGCCAGGCCAGGGCAGTATGGACTGCAGTGATATCAGCATCTCACTTCTGTGTGGCTCTTATTACCGATGCAAGTTTATGCTTATTTGTGTATTTATTAGATTAATGTCTGTCTCCTCTATTGGGATGTTATTTTCATAAGAAACATTTTTTCTTGTTTGTTTTTTAACCACTATGTAACCAAGGCATAGGGTGGAGCCTGGTACATAATAAGTTCCCCCAAAGTTTCTACTGACTGGATAAAAAGAATGACTAAATAAAATGGAAATATGAAGAAGGGATTATGAGAATCCTAATTAAGCAGATTTTTAAAAATGTTTTGGGGGGTTGGTGAGATGGCTCAGTGGTCTAAAGCACCTACTTAGAACAAGCTTAGCAAAACACAGGGACTGCGGTTCAATCCCCCAGCACCACATGCCAGCC